CACGGTGACAGCCGGCCGCCTCCTCCCTTGCGGCTTCGGAGGATACTAAGAACAACAATAACACACACACACACACACACACGCACACGCACGCGCGCGGGCGCACGTCACCCCCAGCGCCCTGGGGGTGTTTGGGGGGACCACACCTGACTGTGCTCCGGACCCCCCCCCCCACCCCACACACAGTGACCACAAATGCACCAACACCATCGCAAAAGTCCCCATCTTTTGAATTGTTACAGAGTGGGAAGCTTCTGGGCCATTTGAACACATTGTCATTCCTACGATTTATCATACCATACAGCACCATCCACCATTTTACCACGCCGTACCACTACGCCATACGAACTGGAAGTCCAAGGCGGTTGATCCTTCCTGCCTTCTAGGATCCCTCCTCATCATCACCATGTCACCGGAACGTACGCAGAGACAGAGAAAAGACCCCAGTTGCCGGCCAGCCTCCACGTCGTACACACTTACACGTACACACACAGGTCATCAGTTGGTAAGGATCGTTTGTAAATGTCACAACTATGAGCGTATGTAGGTGTGCATGCAGGTGTGTATGTATGTGTGTTGAAGTGGTGATGTTCAGAATCGCAAATGTTGGGGCAGAGCTGGTGCAGGAGCCTGGTCATTCAATATACCTAGGACAGGGCGGCGGCGGTGGAAGAGCGGGGGGAGAGGGGAAGCGAAGGGGAAATATTTTTTAAATTTTGGGCCACCACGTATCCTCCCAATACATCAGCCAGGGCTCCTTCCCTCGCCAAAATGCGCGCGTTTCCCAATACCGGCGCCGAAACCACTGACGATTCAGCAGACGCGGATGCATAAATTCTCTTAGCTGCTATGAGGATATGTGGAAACAGCGAACATAGCAGCACTTGCTGCGTTCTTGGCACTGAGGAGCTGCGGAGCTCTTGCGGGGAGCCATGACTGTCAAATTTACCTTGGCACCTTGGCACGTGCGGATGGACGTGAAGGCTATGCCACGCAGGTGAGCCGCCGTGACGGTAGCTGTTAGCTTGCGGTTGCCAGCGCCGCGGAGAGCCGCTGGCCGACTCATTGCGGTTTGCATGCTGAGGATTACTTGGGGGCCGTCTCTAGAGTGTAGATCCAATTAGATCTTTGGAAATAGATGCTTTATGATTGGCTTATTGGCCTTGAAAATCTTGTAAGCAGCAAAGTTTGGCGCTCCTTCCTAGAAGCCAATCCGCACGGCTGAAATCATGTGGATATTAAATGCAGTGTGGAAACAACAAATCGAGCCGTTGAAAGCACACCCGCGTTGCTGGATGCTTCACAGGATTGTAAAGCCCAACTGTTTATGGTTAGATACGACATGTCCAAGCCTGTTCAATTGTCGGCTTGTCGTTAACAGCATTACGAGGCGTAGACTTGGATATATGGATGTTGAACTTTGCTCTTAGCCGAACTGTCTTCCTTGAGATATAGAAATCGTGTAGAAGGTTCGGCCGATAACGCCTTGTTCAATGCCTTTTAGTTACCATTTCTGGTTTTCCTCTTTGCTTTCTTGCTCTCTGCTTGGTTAGGCCACCAGCCTTTTGTTTTGGCTGTGCAAGCTCAAGAACTTCGTGACAAGGGTGCCAAAGGCCAAAAGCCAAAGGACCTTGTACCAGGACAGTTCGCCCCCTATGTTGGATGATTGCGTCTTCCATGAAAATTTTTACTGACAGCAACTGTGGCAAATATAAAGCTCAGGAGGCGATGCGGCCTTCACTGTGACAGAGTATCTGTGACAGAAGTATCATATCTCTGTGACTTCACTCATTAGGAATGATTAACATGTCTGGATCATGTGCACTTCCTACCTGGGCGCGTTTTGGACGAGTGTGTGAGTTTTATAGGGCAGCCGACCTCAACGCCGTAAGGTTGTTAGGGACGTTAGTCCTTACCTTCAGTTTGGATGATTCTAATGACTGCATCTCTACTTTTCCTAGCTATGATCCTAATCTGAAACTGGGGTCAGTTGGATGTCCCACCCTTATCTTAGGTTGTTTTCTGCTGGGCATGTCTGCTGGTCCAGTCACTTAGGAGCCAAGATGCTTATATTTCAGAAGGAAATTAAGATATTTCCATGCTTATAAAACAGACATGAACGAATGTAGTGTATTGCCTACCGTATCTTCCGCCGCGCAAGTCTCAGTCGTGGCCCTGCCATTAACCTTGCTGCACGTAACAAAATGTCCAGTCATGAAGATTTCATTAAATCCAATCAACCATCTCTACGTATCCTGATACCAGGGCTTTCGTGCGTAACTAAGGTCAATACACCCCCACCGCCACCCTGGCCCATCGTTTCAGCGATTCGTGGCAGCAATGAATCTCCGCATCTATCACCCCAAACCCTGCGCCTTCATCGTTTTTCCATTACAGATTGCTTTTGGCTTGGAGCAACCTTAATCACTCAATATAGTAGGAAGTCGACCGTCGTAGAAGCTACATCCTACCACTCCGGCAGTGGCTTTCGGCTGTCTATTCGCGCCAATCTCGGCATAGTGATTTAATTTTGTTATACTACAACATTGTTTGTTTTCAGTTCAACTGATATGTGTTAAAGCTTTACGCAATACCTCATTGCCTTCAAAGTGTACTATCGCTGACGTGGGTTGCCGCAAGCATAACTTTTTCCAACCTCCGTATTCCATCGCGGCCTCAATAAGCGTAGTGCATCATCTTTGTGCATATTTGTGCACCTGCCGTTGCCGCGTACCGCGACGTGCCTTAGCGTTCTGTCGGTTACTACCGATTGCGTCAAGGCCGGACTAATAGGAAAGAAAAATGGCGGTGATGTCTTCAGCGGCCGTGCGCTCCTTCGATCAAAAGCATTTGCTGCGAAGCCCTGCTACTGGAAGGTGTACAGTCATTGTTGCCGCAGCTCGTCCGCATCTCCCACATGCGCAATCACAGCTCGCGACGGACCAACCACGTCAGCCATCGCAGCTGCGCCTTTCCGAACTATCAGAACGACAAGGAAGTAATCAATCCGGGCCTAGACCAATCTCGCTAGTCCTTAGCTCGACCACCACTGCCGCAGCTGCGGCCGGCGAGGCAACCATCCCAACCGCCTTCGCGCGCGTCGCCGTCGGCGCCGCCCTCGCCTTATCCACCCTCTATACCTTACTCTCCTCTCCTGCCTCCAACCTCACCACCTCCTCCTTTACCCCGACCACCTCCTCCTCCTCTTCTTCCTCCTCCTCCCCCTCCTCCCCCTCCACCCCCTCCACCTCCGCAACCGCGACCTCCACAACCGGTTCGCAATCGGCGGTCACTGTCACCACTCCCACCACCGTCACCACCACCATCGCCTCGCTTCCTATCCTTCGAACACCAGACCAATTCGACGCCTTCGTTCTTGCATCCAATCGAGCTGGATACCTGGCCATCGTGTTATTTCACGCCCCTTGGTGCTCCGCGAGCCAGCGAATGCTGCTGGAGCTTCAGCGCCTCTCTCATCTCTTCGTCGGCCGCCGCGTCGTCTTCGCGCGCGTGGACTGCTCCATCAAGCAGGGCGTCAGGCCGGGAGTCCCCTTGGGCCAGGCCCCCAGCCCCGGCTTCAAGCTGCAGCGATGCGACCTAACGCAAATGCACCGAATCCACAAAACGCCCACCCTGCGGATGTACTACCATAACGCCTGCGTGGATGAGGTACGTACACCTGTCTCAAACGCCGTGCAGTGTACAACGTAAATCGTGCATTTCGATTATCTGTGGTAGCGAATGTTGTTCTTGTATATGTGAGTTGCGCTTCTTTATCACACATAAAAAAGGGACGTTCTTTTACAGAATTGCCACAGCGAAAGAATTGCACGCACACTGATTTCACGCATCGAAATCCCCCGCGGCAATTCGTGCGTAATGCCATTCGCAGATCATAGGACACCGGCCTGTGGACTTCCGACAAGCGGCTTCCGACCTAACCTTCAAGTACAACCTCTAAAACCCACTTCTACTAAAGAGGAAGAGCCCGCATCGACTGAAAAGCTCGAGACAGGCAGCTTCAGACAGACCACAAGCGATCCCCTCTCGCCTCGGTCAGAAGGTTCAGAAGATTCAGAAGGTTGCAGCTGGCGCTCGCCGAGCTAGGTGCTGCTGCTGCTCATGCTGCTGCTGCTGCTGCTGCTGCTGATGCTGATGATGATGATGATGATGATGATGATGATGATGATGATGATGATGATGATGATGATGATGATGGAGGCAGTTCTTCAGCAGTTTGTTGTTTTTTTCTTTTGTTGCCAAGCTTGCCGCCTCCATGGTTTGTGCATCTACGGGTGGGATGTGACTTGTGGTGTCAACGGCACGCACGCAACGCGCCAGCAATCAACCAACCGACCCGCCTTTCCGAGAAGTCGCCGGTTGAAAGATCAAGTATGAGAAATTCCGCAATGTACACGTCACGCAAGTCACGGACTTGCGCGTAGAGTGTGACGAGTCCTACCCGGTGTTGCCCTTCCTTCGGCCACCGTCGCAAGACACAACGCAGTGGTTTTACGTGTGAAGGGAGTGGAGGCTGTGCGGGCGCCAACAACACGGTGATGTTCGGTTCGGTTGACGACCTTTTGAAACCGAAGGCCAGCCCCCTTCGGGAGACTTTCCGGAGGCTTCAGCTTCAGTCCAACAAAGGAGAGAGGGAGAGTGGGAAGGTTAGGGGGAGGGAAATGCGCGTTAGGGGAATGAAAAATGCGAAGTGGGTTACGGGGTGCTCTGAGATCAATGGCACCACGGCTCGCGGGCTCACGGACTCGCCAGGGCCACGGACCCCTTCTCACGAGCGGGCGGCGAGCGGGTGATTGTGTATGTGTGTGTGTGTGTGTGTGTGTGTGTGTGTGTGTGTGTGTGTGTGTGTTGGGGTAGCGGGGAGGGAGGTTGCCATTTTGGCACAAAAGTGCGCGGGGTCCTGATCGTGCTTTCGTATGCGTATGTCATCCGGGGGTTCCCGGGGGTGGAGCACGAAACAATAAAGAGTGGGGCTACACAACGATACTCGTTAATCCTCTGCATAAAGTCTTGACGGTTTGGGTAGATGATAAGCCTCGCAGCCAGTACCATGGACTTCGATTTTGGGGCGTGCATGACCACAACTAACTGCCGTCAATTAGCTGACTGGGACTGGGACCTAACCGACAACTAACCGACAACTAACCGGTGGTTGGGATTTGCGATGTCGCAATCCGGCGTTCATGGCAAAGCTGCACCTATGAGTAAGCTGCTATATACAGGCGGCAGTGAGAGAGGTGGTACAGAGGAGTGCGCGCCTATTGCCATGAAGCCTTCGGAATCCATTGAATTTAAATGTTCAGAGGTTTAAATTCAAATTTTGACTTGCTGACGACGACGCTAGTGCTGATGTTTTTACAGTTGAAGTCCGCAGAAGCGAGGCGGGACTTTAGGGGGCTTGGGGAGTTTGCATTAATGGGGGTGATTCAACTGATGCGACAGGAGGAGAGAGTGAGCGGAGAGAGAGAGAGAGTGAGAGAGAGAGAGAGTGAGAGAGAGAGAGAGAGCGGTCAGCGAGAGAACGCATTGTACGGTGTCGCACTATTGTACGGCGCACTGTCCATTATGATATACGTAATGTTTAAACGCTGAGAATGTTTGAGTCATCGCGTTGACCGTTGACCCACCGACGTACGACTTTTTACTGTCCGCCATGTCGATCAATCTATGCCAATTTGTGTTGTGTTGCGTCCTGTGCATCTTGCGCGCATATCGTGGTGTCGAAAGACAATTCAAGAAGGATTGTCAACATGATCTTGGAGGCCCGGTGTACGAGCGCGCGCCCTATATTTTATGCGATTTTGTTCGACGCAGCGCTGGATTTGCGGTGGTTGGGCCATTTTGAAGTACTTTCTCCATCTAGCAGTTCTTTGATGGCGTTTTCAAAACAGCTAATTCTATGGCTTGCATGTGCGCTCATGAAGCAAGCAAACAAGCGCCGGGATGTGCCAACTTGTTTCATCTTTTTGTCAAATATGGCGATCATCGCAGCTGTACGATATACGACACATGAAGGACGCTGTTGTACGGATGCCTATTTGTACACACGAAATTCGGAAGCAGATGTTTAATTGGGGCAATTTGGGCTTAAGTGGACAATTTTGAACATTGCGGGTTGGTTGTGTAGCGGTGGTGATGATGATGATGATGATGATGATGATGATGATGATTGTGGGTTTAACGAAATGGGTAAAATGTATTCGGCATGTTATGGTGATTCTGGTAGGTCGCATCATCTCGTCTGTCGTACGTAACGGTCGCAGCGAGCCCTTCCCTTGAGCGCTGCTGGTAGCCGTTGCCAAAATAGGCCACCTGCATGTTCATCCACATGGCTTTTGAAGAGGCGTTGTGATGATAGTTGGGGACTCTTGGTCCCGATGTCCACATATATCTCGCCCGGGGCGTGTGCTCGTGCTGGCCGGTACTGCTATCCGGCCTCGGCTCCTTTCGCTCTGGCTATGCGGCATCGACGTTTGCCTTGCCTCTCTTCCCTTCGCATCCAGCCAGCATCCCGTCAACCTGGGTCGAACGGGAAAGAAAGAGGACGCGAAAAGGAAGCATATTTTGGATCCGTGGAACCGAAGTGGATTTGGGTTCTGCTTGGTCGGTTCGCACGTTCCACGCCCTCCTGTCGTCTGGATTGGATGCAGTCCAGGGAATCTAACACATTTCGTTGTTGCAGGCGGTGTACAGAGGCGGGGGGAATTTCGTTGCGATGGAAGCTTATCGTCTCGCGCTTCCTTTTCATTCCCTTTGCTTGACGATGAGTGAGGGGGGTTAAGGGGTAGGGAGGGGGATCTGGAAGGGAGGAGCGGAGAAGATCCAGGCGGAGCGGGAGGAGCGAAGATAACTCCTTTTTTTAACCGTTGCTTTTCATTTTATGCACCCCGGCATTCTTGAAGATGATGAATCTTGGCTGTGTTCAGCGGCCTTGCATTTGCACGCCGGGGCTGCTAACAGTTGCTGCTGCTGTTGCGCTGCGCACATATTTGCCAGCAGGGCTTTTTGTCTTTTTTTTGGCAGAATTTGCTTGCTTCCCGGGGAGAAGCGAAACCGACGTTTCTTCTGGGGTTGACTTTAATTTCAGATGTATAGGAGTTGGGATTGGCGGTTGTTTGCCGTGGGCAAACTGGAATTTTGGATAGCTTGGTAGATTCCTAAAGGAAAGACGACAATCTTGGGTCTACTTGGTGTTTCGTGCCACGGACAGTTGAGGATACGCGTTGCCTACGTTGTTTTCTGTGCTGCATATGACGTGTGTCGTACAGCAATCAAGCCATGGCTCTTGTCGCAGTCCAAAGCGGAACCGTTCTTCTGGTGAAGTATGGTCGAAACTTTGTACAATCTGTTGATCTTGTGTCTTGTGTTGTGAAAGAAGGGTTGAGCGTACGTGTCGTAGAAAAAATAATCGCAATCAGTTTAACATTATGCGCAATAGGTACAATAAAATTGTTTTTGGTGTGATTTTTGGGCGGGGCCCCAGCGCGAAGCGCCCAGGGGGGCCCCGACCTGTAGGATTGCCCATGTCCGTGTGTGTGTGTGTGTGTGTGTGTGTGTAACGGACCAAACATAATATCTCGCCCGCCTGAAACGCGTTATAGGTACTATACAGCATTCTCTATTGCAAGGTATTTCGCATGTAGCCAACAAAAATCGTATGAGCACAAACAAGTTTGGCTGCCTCAATTGACCGAGGCCAAAGTCACATCAACGCCTCTCGAGCTAAATTTCATCCCGAAAGGTACCGCGTATCTCATATTTGAATTCTTAGATGACGGCGTATGATAACTCGAACTCCCAGGCCTTGAGTGTGTAACGGACCAAACATAATATTTCACCCGGCTGAAACCCGTTATCGGTACTATACAGCATTCTCTATTGCAAGGTATCTCGCATGTAGCTAACAAAGACCGTATGAGCACAAACAAGTTTAGCTGCCTCCATTCACCGACCTCAAAAGTCACATCAACGCCTCTCGCGCTATTTTTCATCCCGAAAGCTGCCGTGTATCTCATAATGGAATTCTGAGATGACGGCGTATGATAACTCGAACACCGAGCTTGCGTTACCATTTGCCGGCATGGGCAATCCGACTTGCCACCAGCAGGCCAACATAATTTGCTTTCACTTCTCTATGAAATACACAAGCTGCTTGTTTGTACATTTACTTTGGCCAATGCACGGGGCCTCCGAAGACTTGCGGTGTGCCGCGATGAAGCTCGCGGCTGTGGGGCGGATTGCTGAGGCCGCTGGCGCTTCGGGGATAAACATCACAGACAGCACCTAATTTCACTCAGCTTGCGTTACCAATTTGCCCGCACGGGCATTCCGACTTGCGGTCTGCCGCACTGTCCATGCGGCATGCACCCGGGATGGATGCGATTCGCGTGGAGCGCGCAGGCGGTGCTGACGATTCCGCCGGTGCAAGCTTAGCTCCCACACCATCAGTACTGCTGCAACAAAGCACATCTCCCACCGCAGTGACACTACCCATCAATTGTCACACGTGCCGTGCTAGCTACCGGCCTGTACGGATGCAGGGGGGCCCCGCCCTTTTTCCGGCTTCGAGGAAGCCGACACCTGACTTGTCACAGTTAAAACATTATTATCCCTGGTTGGTTTACTTGTGCAAAACTCAAAGGCTTACCTCGCCTGAATAAATGTGTGGCGAAGCCTGCTAGATCTGATCCCAGTTCGTACGCTTTCAGTGCGAAACTTCTATTCCACAGGCTGTGATTATGTAATACACTGACATTGTTCTGCTCTATCCGATGTTTTTCCGTGATCCCGACATAAACCGCCTATGACACGGCACGCTTCCTCACAAATACGGTTCGGGACTCATGCTGCTAACTCATGCTGCGCTGGCAGCATCTAACATCCAGAACAAACTGTTGCTTTCGGGCGTTTTTACTTACAAGTCAAAACGCCCGTGACGCCATCCATGATCCCCATCTCCCAACCCTCAAAATTCGTTTCTCCAATTCCACCACACAGAAACCCGCAAAAACATTGGTACCCCAAGCGTCATGATCTCATCATGATCTCGCGCACAAAACGCGAGTGCACGCGCTGTTCCCCCTTCTCACTGTACGGTGGCAGCGACCGATCCAACGGAAAAGGGACAGAAGGAGCTACACGCGGCCCCCACACCACACCACACCACGTACCTAACCCGCTCCAAACCCCCTTTTCAGCGCCGCTCCCGGCTTTGGTCCCGCTCCCTAACCCCCCGATCTCTACCCCGCTCCCTCTCCCTCCCCTCCCCCCGACCATAGCCACCGCTTTCCCCGTCTCCGCCGCCCCCCCGCCGATCCCGACCATCCCTCATATCCCGATGATTCCGCCTCTCCTGCCGGTCCCGCGCACGGTCCTCCTCCCCCCGATCACGGGGGTAGTCCCGTTCTCGGTCTCTTTCCATACCCCTACCCCTACCCCCCTCCTTCTCCCTCTCCCGCCCGTCATCCCGGTCCCGGTCCCGGTCCCGCTCCCCGTGCAGCACATGGCGGTCAAACCTGTCCCGCCCCTCCCGCCCTTCCCGATCTCGCACTCCCCTGTCGCGGCGGTCCAAAGCGACCCGTGGGTCATTATCATCCTCATCCTCATCGTCACCATTTTCGTAGTTCTGACGAGCCTCGCGGTCGCGATCTCCGCGGCGCGCCCGGTCCCGTTCTCGTTCTCGTTCCCAACCCCCTGGTGACTCACCCCCCTCCCGACCCCGATCCCAAGAACTGTGCCCGCGAGGGCCTGCAGCCGCCGCCGCCGCCGGTGCAGCTGCCTCCCTGCCAGTGCCATTACGATCCCATCGACCGCCGCCATCCCGAGGTCGCCCTCGATCCAGATCCAGATCTGCAGGGACCGCCCTACGACCCGCCTCTGCGTCCCGGAGGCTTCGGCCTCCGCCTCCGCCTCCGCCGCCGTGGCGTCCTTCAACATGATGGCGCTGACGGCGCCGGTCGCCACCTTCGCCGCCGCCGTCACGAACATCATCGCCATCACCGTGCCGGCTGCGCTTCCCCCCGCCGCCGCCGCCGCTTCCACGTCCGCCGACTGCACCCTCCTCCCTGCGCGTTTCTGCCCCCCCCGCCGCCGCCGCCGCCACAGCCGCCGCCGCCTCGTCGTGCCCGAAGAGCAGCAGGTCGTGTGCCCCGCCTCCGACTCCGCCTCCACGAGTGTTGCTCTTCAGCTCAATCCGCGACTTCTGCAGCGAGTGGTCCCCGCAAATGGATGAAATGAACATTTGGATACATCGATAGCATGCATGTATGCGTGCGTGGTTAGATGCGACCAAGATGTAGGTCGCGTGCCCGTATGGACTTAGGTAGGTTAGTGATGAGGATGGACGGAGGGTATCGCCGCCGCCACCGCCACCGCCGCCACCGCCGCCGCAGGCAGTAGCTGTTGGCTGAGGTTATCAACAGTGTGGTTCGGGCCGAGAGCTCCATTATAGCTCTGGGAGTGAAGGCACTGAAGCAGTCAGCCGGCCAGAAGCACCCGTCCAGGAGCAGGGGCGAGCGCGCAGCCTCCAACCCGGGGCAACGTGGCCCCTCACGTGCAACCATCTCTACCGACACATCCCCGACCTCAACAGGCACACATACATACATACATACATACATACATGCATAGTGTAATCTAAGTCATACATACATACATACATATATACATGTACATTTATATACACGTACAGATATGCCAGGACGTTTATTTCCCCTCCCCCCCGGCTCTGCGTCCTGCCCTCCCGTCTCCTCCTCTCACCTCCTGGCGCTGGTGCTGGTCCGCCATTCGCCCCATACTCGCATCACCTCGCTTGCCGCCCCTGCAGTGGAGTTAGCGCGACCGACCCGCCAAGCGGTGGGGGCAAGGGCACGGGGGGATATATGGGGTATATGGCTCCTGGCTCTGGAGAAGGAAAGGACGTGAGAACCCAGATTGACGTCACCACGCACATACAGACAGACAGACAAACACAGAGAACGAGAGAGAAAGGCAGGCAGGCAGTTTAACTTGTGCGAAGGGTAAAGTACGGGTAAAGTACGGGTTCCCCCTCGGCCCTGGCAGCCACCACCGGGGGCCATACCACCAAAACAATCAGGATTATATATTGCATTGCGTCACATGCAGTACATGGGATTGGTTGGACGGAGCGCATCAGTCGCATGTACGGCAAAGGGCTAAAACCTCCCCCCCTCACTTTTTGAACTGCCTCCACAGGTGGTGTACGGACTGGCTGAAGTCCACCCGCACACGGCGGTCGTCGATGACGGCGTTGTTCATCTTGAAGTACGCTGCCTCGCAGGCCTCGTCACTAGGAGGGGGGGAAAGGGAGGGAAGGGAGGGGAAGGGGGGAGGGAATCACATGATGGTAATGATGGTGATGATGATTACGGTGATAATGATGATGATCAATGTATCAGCTGGCCTGAACGTGATGATACGATCTATCCACGTGATCTCTCTCTCCTCAGCAGTCATCATCTCATCCCATCTCCGTCTCCTACTGCGCCTCCGTTTCCGCCACCTCCCATCCTCCCTTCCCGCCTTCCATGCCCCACCCCCCAAACCAGCTGTCATCTCTCTCTCTCTCTCTCTCTCTCTCTCTCTTTCTCTCTCTCTTTTCCTCCCTCTCTCACACACACGCATACACACATACATGCGCGCACACACACACACACCTCCTCTCACCTGTCGAATCCGATGAACCCGTAGTTGAGCGAGTCTCCGGTCTTCCAGTCGCGAATGATGTCACACGAGGTGACACGACCGAACCTGTGTGTGTACAAGTATGTATGTATGTATGTATGTATGTATGTATGTATGTATGTATGTATGTATGTATGTATGTATGTTGTGAGGGACCACCAGTGGTGGTGGTGGTGGTGTAGTCCCCCGGGGGCGCTGAGGAAGGGAATGAAAGCCGGGCCCCGGGATAGAGAGGGTGCGTGTGTGTGCGGGTAATCGTGCAGGTGATCGTGGAGGTGATAATGCCAACATGAGAAACAAAAAACAGTTGCCCGCGTTTAACACACCGACCGCCTAGGAAGGTTGAGGACAACAAAAGTACAAAAAAGGAACTCGGCGGTGGGGGGACGCACACATGCGCACACACACTTACAGACAGACAGACAGACAGACAGACAGACAGACACATACGCACAACCATATACAAATACACACAGCCGCAGCCGTACCTGCTAAAAATGATTTCCAGGTCTTCTTCGCTGGTTACCGGATTGAGCTTACAAATGAAGAGCATGTTGGGCGGGGGCTTGGCGTCTGAGAGTCGAAGGGAGAGCGGGTGAGGGTGAGGGGGACAGGAAGATGTGAAAAAGAGGGGGGGGGCAGTGCCGGGGGACAACGCAAACAACGCCGGAAAGAAAGATGGGGAAAGATCCGCTCCCCTCTCCCCTTTTCCCCTTCTCCCCTTTTCCCCCTCTCCCCTTCCCCCCCTTTTTCCCCCCTCCCCCCTTCCCCCCTTCCTCTCCGGCCCCACTTTCCCTCACCGGCATCCGGCAGGTCCCCCACCATCTCCAGCACCACCGCCCGGTGATGCGCCTCCGCCCTCCGACTCTCCGCCTCCACCTCCTCCTGCGGCCGGGTGTCCTGATGAGGCAACCAGTCGTCCTCGAGCCGGTCTCCCTGGTCCCCAGAAGAAGGAGAGAGGGAGGGAGGGGTAGAGGGAGGGAGGAAGAAGGGAGGGAGGGAGTCATACCGAAATTGCAGGTAATTGGGGTAAAGGGAGGTTAGGGGCGCTGACAGGGTTTCGGGTTTTCGATGGGGGGAACGTGACAAGGGGTGGGGGATTTGTGGTGATGGTGGTGGTGGTATTGGAGGTGGCGGTGGTCGGAAACTAATGTGGGTTAAGCGGGTTGTGGAGTCGGGAATTGAAGCAACAGGAAGAAGGAAACGAGGGAGACATTTGTACGAAGGGTTGTACAAATTGTACGAACGAAAACACCCTGCCCGCCCTCCACCCGCACACCGTTTCCCCCCTCCAGTCGTCTGGCCCCCCCCGCCCCTTTCTCCTCCCCTATACCTCTCTCCCTACACCCCCCTATCTCACCCCCTCCCCCTTAACCCCTTCACGCCCGCCAGAGTCCCTCACCTCCCCAAACTCCAGAGGTGGAGATGCTGGGGGTACGAGGGTATCCAGCTGGGTGGGGTCGGGGAAGGGATCATCCAGGATAATGGTGTGGCGGATACTGCTCGGCGGGGACGGGGGTTAGGTGGGTGGGAGGGAGAGGAGGGATGGGGGGAATTGTATGCAAAGGGGGTGGGAGGATAGGGGAAAGACGAACCACAAACGAGTGAAGCTGCTGCCAGGGCAAGAGTGTACCATGGGAGGACGGGGGGAAGACATGTGATGCGAAAACACACGGAAAAGGAGGACGATGAAAGATCGGGATAAAAAGGACGGGATGGAGAGGGGGGTTATTGCAATGCGCAGCAGCGCACTTCAGGAAAGGCTGCGGACGTCAGAAACATCAACGCATTGCCAAAGCAACTGACACGTACGTATGTATATATGTACGTACGTAATGTACGTAATGTATGTACGTATGTATGTATGTGAGAAAGGAAAGGGGAGGAAAGGTGGCGGGGAGGGAAGGGAGGGGGAGGGGGAGCTGCCAGAGGGAGAACGGACATGCAGCGAGTTGAAGTTGTTGTTGTAAAACGGCGGTGAAGATGTCCCCCCCCACCCCCACCCCCATCCCCCGGACGGGCGAATGCACCCAAGCAACCCCCAGGGGGTGCGGGAGGGGGCCCCCCCCGATGCCCACCACACCGCACACGAGGGGGGTACATACCCCCCCCCCCTGGGTGCGGCCGGCAGGGTCAGGGACGCCAGATGCAGCTCACAGGTGCAATTTAGCCTAACGCCGTACCCTGAAGTACGGTGCCGTACATACCGGATGTTTTGAAAGGGCCTGCCCTCTGCATCCACGAACGCTTCGTTGATGGCGTCCAACACGTCCCAGCCCTCAGCTACCTGTTGTAACGGTCATTAACGGACATTAAAACATTTCAGTTCGCGTAATACATATTTACGAAATCATATAACATATAATGTTGGGTGTGGGGGAGTAGGGAAGTGGGTTGACCGAAGGAGCATGTAGAGCGGGAAGCCGGAATGGATATAAAAACCCCAAACCCTCCAACTCTCTTGCCCCCCGCTTTGTAAGCCCCTGCCCTCCCTCCCTCGCCCCATATTCCCCGTACCGTGCCAAAGATTGTGTGTTTTCCGTCCAGACTGTCGAGCTCGTCCCCCGTGGTGATGTAGAACTGGGAGGCGTTGAGACCCTCTCCAGGGGAGGCCATACCCACCACGCCGCGTCGTGTGTGTTTTAGGTGCGGACGGATCTCGTCCTCGAAGAAGCGTGCCTGGTCGCCGTACAGCTTGCTGCCGTACAAGTGCGGGCGAGGTGGCGAGGAACGGGGACGGAAGGGAAGTGGGTTGACCGCCGGGGTTCTGTGCAGTAACTGGTGCGGGAGACCGCGGCACTACAACCTTTGCCGTACACTGTGCTAATGCCCTCAAGATCACGTCGGCGTCTCACGTCTACCGCGCGGGTGGAAGAGCCGTGCTGGATTGGGGGCTTGGGTTGGAGACCGCGACCCACGGCGTGTTTCGCCGGCGTGTTTTGCGGCATGCGTTGTAGAGGTTAGACGAATGAGGCTTAAGAGGGGCGACAACGGCCGTGCTCAACTCGAGGGAGAGTGTGTGTGTGCGTGTGTGTATTTTGTGTGTATTTTGTGTGTTTCAATAGGGATTGAGGAGTTTTAAGGTGTCTGAAAGGACGATCGCTCAAGGGAAGTGCGAGGACAGCGGCGGGATGGGAGTCCCCTAGCGGGAAGGGGAGGAGGGAAGGAGGTTGAGGACGCGTGGGGCCCTTGGGAAGGGGATCAACAGCGTACCCATAGATTGACGTGCCGCCCTTGCCAGTCCCTGTGGGGTCCCCAGTCTGAACGATGAAGTTGCGCTGGACATTGTGGAAGAGGCAATTGTTGTAGTACTTGATCCTGGAAATTATGTTCAAACAGCATGTGTGCACACTTGGTTGTCGGAGCACAGGGGAACGAGCGAGCTGCTGGCGGATAATTTTCCTATGTAGGAGGCTTACTTGCACAGCTTAAGAAAGTTCTTAGTCGTTATCGGGCAGTCATCGGTCAGGAGGTCGATGACGATGTCGCCCTTGCTTGTTTCCAGAAGGACAGCCATGTTAAATGGAAACCAGTACTGCGTATATTGAGGTTATTGGCAATAGTATATTAAAAGGTGATGACGAACCAAGTGCGACACCAGAAATCTTAATTCGCAGGAGTTTCATGAGAATTCATCTCAGCTAAATTGTGCGTTCACAGTTGTGTGCCACGAAGACGAAGTGTTAATCCGAGCAGAAGCGTGAACGAATTACCGTTTCCACTTTGTAGTTGGAACTAACAGCTCAAGGTACGACATAGGACAACGGTCCGGACACAAAGCTGGTAATCAGAGGTCGGCAAATCGGTTTCTACGGCTGCGGGAGGGCATAATTTCGGTCAATAAACCTAAAAAAAACTTGGGGCGCCTTCCGGCGCCAAAAAACAGCATTTCAGGGCTGCACGTTCCGTACACATGGCAGACTGATCGTTTTATAGGGGGGGAAAGTCGTCGCCGGGCAAGTTCGTGCGCCATGAAGTTAGTGTCGCCCCCCGAGCTATCCATCCTCACAAAGCCGACCGCATGCGGTTGAAGCGCGGGTCGCGAAGGATATTCTTGACCTTATCGGCGATGTGCATGTAGAGGTGCATCCTAGTGGAGGACTTGTACTTGGCCATTGCCCCCTTCAACACTGCATCCTCCTTCTTGAAGGACCCCGACGTATTCAGCTTCACGAAAAGACTCTCGTTAAGCCGGATAGCTGACAAGCGCGTCCGCCGGTCCCCCTTCATGACGGTACGGGCGGAAAAGACGTGCTCGCAATTGACCGACGGCTTAATTTGCACACTGAACAGCGCGAGCTTCCACATCTCCGAGAACAGGTGCTGCTTTCGTGCGAGCTTGGGCATCATAAGATTATTTGATAATGTGGTGCATCGCTGGCTTGTGCACACGCTTCATCAGCTCCTCTGCGGCATCAGCACCCTCATAGCCCTCATCACCAACACCGAACACCTCCTCACACCCAAGGAGCTGTGACAGCAGCTGCTGCTGCTCCACGTAAGACCAGTGGTAATCTTAAGCAGCACGCTGGGTGTTGTAATTGGTAACTATGCCGTTGCTTAGCATGTAATGCATACAACCTTAGCACATCGTTGTGTTACAAGTTAGACAGATAAGCACAAGCTAATAAAGGGCAAGGAGCCCAGAGATGTCCGTGCAATCTGCACGGCATGATACCGAAACCAGTTCGTCCAGAGAGCTGACCGCCACAAACTTAGTTCTACAACACTCCCACGTGGGCAGACCTCTGGGAACTGAAACTCCAAAAACAAACTCCTCAATGCAGACCCATCGCCTGGATGCACTTCTTGAACTGAGGAAGAGGCAAAGGCTTCGTCAGACAATCAGCGACCATGTCCGCCAACTTGCAGTAGGAAAACACGATCTCACCCCGCACTACATGCTCGCAAACAAAATGGTGAAGCACGTCAATCTGCTTTGACCTGGCGGACGAAATAGGATTGTTGATGATCTTGATTGCTGCCTGATTATCGCACAAGATAGGTACCGATGACACCCGCATCTGTAAATCACGTGCCAAGTGACGGTACCACAAAGCCTCCTTAGTCGCCGCTCCACTCACCATATACTCTGCCTCCACGGTTGACATAGCCACGGTAGGCTGCAAACGACTTGACCAGCTAACAGCTCCACCAGCATTCAAAAACATGTAGCCGGTGTTAGAATGACATGTATCGGCGCATGCTGCATAGTCCGAGTCGCAATACCCATGCAAAGATGGATTACTCGACTTTGAAGAAAAGATGATACCCAGACCACCGAACAACCCCTTTCACCGCCTGCCAATGCTCCACCGTGGGCTTGGACATGTACGACTTGAGGGCCTTGTTCATTCGCCTTCTGATCTCCATTATCTTCTCCACGAATGAATACTGGAGCTTCAGCCGATCCGGCGGTCAACACCGTTACTTCGCCGCTGGCGGCCTGGTGCAAGCACCAAGGCCGCCAGCGGCCTTGGTGCTTGCACCGGCGCCTACAGTCGCTTCACCTGATCAGCCTTCTGTGTCTCAGCCTCAGACTCGGGCTGTACCTATTCATAATGCCGCGGATCCTGCGCTGCTTCCGTCGCCCGTCAATGGTGATGCTACCATGTCCGATTCCCAGCCGGCCACTGCTCCTCGGCAACTGCACCCTCTGGATCTTCCGCAGCCCGACCGATGTCGCCTTGTTTCGGTGGAAGCTGCGGCAAAGGTGCAATTGAGTCTTCCCGACTACATTTCTTTTCTGGTCGATGATTTGGTCGGTTATCTCGACTTGGCGGGATGTACACTTTCCGATTCTGCTGCCACTAATTGGGACGTTTGAGCGTGGGTCCTAAGGGAGCCCATACAGTGTATGATCGCACC